CAATCAAATCTTAGTCCCTAATTTTGGAAATTTTTATTACTAAAAAGGATGGGGTCTAGAATAATTTGCCTGAACCCTGGGGGTTCATAAATTTCACCCTGAACTAGGGGTCCAGAATAAGGACGCTCTTTTTTTTTTTGTCAACGGTTAAATCACGTGTTTGGCAGTTATTTTAAACGCGTAAAATTTTAAAGGATATAAAGGATATAAAGGATATAGTACAATGTCCAATTTGCGGAATGTTGCGCTAACACAAAATTTGAAAACTCCGCACAAATTTTTACTTATAGAGCCAATATTGCCAATAGAAACATCCAGTGATTGATGCTGTATAGAAGGATTTAAAAAAAAGATGGAAACATATCTTACAACCCTCAAATACTGTTGCTGATATCAAAAAGGCACAAAGGGTGAACGAGCGAAAAAGTTACTTGATAAGTATAAAAGGTATGTTCTTAATTTTTGACTAAAACGTAAATAAGTCTTTGGACGAGCTACGAAGCTATTGTTGAGGTGCAGAAAATCTTTGGGATTGGCTTCAGGTCGATTTGACATTAGCCCCACTAGGATATAGAAAATCTTTGGGATTGGCTAATGTTCAAGACTTTGGGTCAATCTTGTGGGATTTAAATAGATTAGTTAGAAATAGTCAAGGAGTCAAAAATAATATTAATCCTAAGTTTCCACTCGACCTGATCACCAGCTGACAAAAAGATTGGCAATTACAAAAAAGTAAAGAGACCACTGGAACCTCAGTCACTTACATAATTCAATATTTGAGGGTAGTTCTCTATGAATTGGAACATTTGATGCTGAATTGCAAACATCTAAAAAAAGAAATCAGGAAGATGTACTGGTGAGCATTTTATTACTTTAAGTTGAGAATAAATCAGCAAAATTAATTATTTGATGTTTTAATATTAAAAGTGCTGCCAAAAAAAAAAAAATTGTAAAGACATTATACCAGCACCACAAACTCCAGAAAATAAAGTAGCAGTATTTTTCCATTGTGTTTTCATCTCATCATGCGTAATAAATTTATTTTTCCTTTTGGTCTTGAATGATGATGACTACGACAAAGAAAATATTTCATTATTGATGAATTATATTTAGATAATATAAGCAATAAAGACATGTGCTAATTAAAAATTATTGTTTTCTATGTATAATCTAATAATTTTCACTGGGACAAAGATGATACAATTACATTTGAAGATGAAGATGTCCTCTTACAAAATCCCCTCATGATACTACTGTTGATTGTAAACTGACTGTCAGCGATCAAAAATAGAACAATGGAAGAATTACACAAGCAAGAATATTTACATTTATTTTATTATCCTTACTTATACAACCATATGCTTTAGATACTATTTTTACTGAAAACTTTACTTTACAGTTTAATGCATAGTAATATTCCGAATACAACGAATTCATCTGCAACAAGTATTGGAATAATATTATTAAAACAATAGAAGAATTTTTATCATTTAGATCTCATATTCCAAATTCTGAGTTCACTTCATCTCAAGATACAGAACAAGGTGAACAGACGGAAGGTGTTAAACGATATTTAAAAAATACAGCAAAAATGTAATAAATATATTTTATTTAAGATTAAATTTAAATTTTGATTTATTGGTAACACTGGTCGAAAATTGATAAAACATACACATATCGGATACCCGATATGTGCATGGTGTGTCCTTAATATCGGGCATATATCGGGTACCCGATAAGTGTAGAAAATATTTTTTTACACTTATCGGGTATCCGATATATATATAAAATATTTTCTACACATATCGGATACCCGATATATGCCCGATATTAGGGAAACACCATGCACATATCGGATACCCGATATGTGATGTTTTATCAATTTTCGACCAGTGTAATTCCTTATATTTACATTTATTTCCATAGAATAAGTGAATAAATTATGTAATGCAATCAAGTTAGAGGTGAAAAATTATAGGCAAATGGCAATACACAATGAAAAAACCAAGTTTTGTAATTGATGAAAATATTGTAAATATTCTATATAACTCTTGTGTTTCAATTTGATTTTTTACTAAAATTGAATCTCCACTTTACTATAGTCAAAAACAATTTCTAAATGGCAGAAACTGTTTAAAAGAAAATCAGACTGAAGACAATTATATAATCAAGTTTATTTTCCACATTTTTACCATTCTGTTTGAGGATAAATTATTTTTGGAATGTAGTTGGTAAGTGAAGTATATTAGGTAATGCTTGTTATCCCCGTTAGTTATTGTTACTTATTTTTTATTTAATAAGGATGAATCGACCTTACAATGTTCTGTATAATAATGACATTCCTCATTGTTTTAATTGTAATGAACCTGACCATATTTCTAGAAAATTGTTTGTCAGACCGAAGGTATAACAATCATTATAATAATAATAACAATAATAGATCAGCACCTTAATGGAATAATAATTGACAAGGAGTTAATATAGTTGAAATCAATGAAGACGAAAATGAATATTACACTGATGATTATGTAGCAAATATGAAGTATATGAAGTAATTAGAAATAAACCTCAGGTCTGTAATAAAGTATATCAAACTAGAGGTCAACAATAAAAACAAAGAGCTAATCCAGGAGGAGAAACTATTTATCAAAATTCAAATTTTGATAACAACTCCATGATAGTTGAACTCTCCATTACTACTGTACCAGAACCATCAACTACTACCTTTGCTAAAAAACCTAAAACTAAATGTTAACCTTTAGTTATAGATCAACTATCTAGGGATGGGAGGCGCAATACGAATTGAGCCAGGAATTTAGTCAGATTTAATTTAGCCAATTGAGTTCAAGAATTAGCCTTGGCGCAATTGGGCACAATGGCTAAATTCTGACGCAAAGGCTAAATACTAGTGCAATTCTAATTGACTGGTGCAAAGGCTAAATGCTAGTACAATTTTAATTGGTTGGTGTAAAGATTAAATGTTGATGTAATTTTGATTGACTAATATAAAAATTAAATTTTAGTGTAATTTTAATTTGTTAGTATAAAGGTTAAATGTTAATATAATTTTAATTAATAAAATAATTGTAAAATTTATTAAATAATTGTTTTTATTTATATGTAATTTTAAATTGATTTTTATTATAAGGAATGATTTTTATTATTATATTTTTGTA